GTTTCATCGTTTGTACGGTGAACCGTTCAACAAATCTTTTTTCAATCGGCCTCCGGACATAGCGGTTGCGTGCTGCGAATTGCTGAATGGTGGATTCGTCCGAAAATAACACTTGGTTCCACTGTTCAGCGGTCCAATTCACGTGTTTTTTCGCAAAGGCCATGCGTTTGATCTTCATAGCCGGTGTGAGACGTGGTTTTTTCGCCGGTTTGCACGATTTCAAGCCAAATTTTTTTCATCAAACGTCGACTCACGGTTCTGCGACTTACATCCGTACCCTTTGCGAGAAGTTCTGACCGCATCTTGCTGGAGGAACTCATTGGAGACCGAACAGCTATCCTCCTTATGGCGTGGTCGTCCCTCGGTATGGTCTTTCGTGGACGCCCAGACCGCTTTCCGTCCGAATAAGTCCCCGAATTCGCAAATTTCACGACTGCATTGTGAACGGCAGTCTTACTACACTTTAACTTCTCACTAATCGCTCGTTCAGAATATCCTACCTGGTGAAGAACCGCAATTTCTGCCCTCTGAACTTCCGTGATTGACGATTTTTTACCAGTTTTCGTGGGTTTTTAGAAAAGGTAAAACACTGCGAAATGCGGCGTAATGAAGTGTTTACTGCGTGATGGTCAATTGAAAAGTGACTACAATAGGCCGACGTAAGGATGACGCAATCTCATGCAATCAATTTCATTTCTGATGAAATCACTGCGTTCAGAAGAACGCAGTGATTTCAACTTATCTTAAACTTATGGCCGCGACTGTATATCCTCCCACCCATCATGCGTCCAATCTCTTTCACTCATAACGGCATCATCAAAGTCGGTCCCGATTGTCTTCCCTCGTATTGCCAGTCTCAAGAAACAGTAATCCATATGATGCCGCTAGATAAAACAACAGATGTTAATCCTGGGACCTTGATACTGCCAGTGTGCGAGGATGGTGCTCCTCATCCACCCTCCTCAGAAACTGCTACTGCTACTCATAGACCTCGTGACTGCGTCCTTCGGTATACCAGAGAGCTTGAGACCTTCACACGGAGACCTTGCTGCCACCGAACAGATTGGAAAAGGACTCCAACCTTCGCTGAGCAATGAGTCACACAGATGGATAGAACGGCATCGCTATAAAACGGCAAGCGGAATCCCAGCGATGAACACAAGTACGAACTGAATGTTCGAATCGAAGACCAGAATGTTTGAAATGCCGCATGTTAATTTCTTTGTTTCATCAATTTGAAGCTGCGACAAGCATAACTGTGAATCACTTAACTAAGTTTATGATGACTGATGTTCTATTTTTTTTTTACTTGCTTTAGTATCGTCCAGAATTTCAAAGACATCTTGTACCTCACTGACAACTTTTATTGATTTATTGCGATTGCAGTTCGACATCTCACTGAGAATACGGATGGAAAGAGGGTAATAGTTAAGAATATCAAAACATTCACGTGGTTCGCCCGCTCCACAAAACTCTCCCTTTCCGTGCATCTCCCATTTCACTTGAGTACCGACCGCACGGTTTCTCCAGATTGAGAGACCTTGCATCCATCGGAATCATTGAATCACAATTGAATCGTAAATGCGAACGCTCCGATGCGGACAAGGTCGCTGTCAGAAGGAGTCATGCGATCTGGCGTCGCTAAGGCCGAAGTATCACCTGTGAACCCGGTTCCGATAAGATCGTAACCCCAAGTACGGTCTGGAGTAAAGGTGATTTCAAGCGATGTAAATAAGCCAGGATTAATGTGCTACAAGTTCGAAAATTGTTTTCCCTTTCTTCAAGATCATTACTTGATGGTACTGGAGGCATTTGAAGTTCCCGGATTTGGTACTCGTCGAAGAAGTGTAACGTTAGGCCAATTGCAGGTCTATTCGGTCTCTCATGGCCCATTTAACATAGAACGTTAAACGTTGGACCGAATGTAGGTCTTTTTCGAGTTTCATGACCCACTTCAGTGCGGTCAAGGAACATTCTGCATGTCCGGAGTTCCTGGAACCGTCTCAACTCGTTCCTAGAAGAAAATGCCTTTGGAAAGCATGACATACAAGTTGCCCACAATCCTGTTAAGTTAAAGAAGTCAGGATGAAATATCTCCGTATTCCAATAAATCCATCGGCCATTGCAAACCACCCTTTCGATCTCGACTCATCCCATGAATTCAGAACTATGTGCCGTACATGAAAAATAGAAGGTCCGATACGATGGCAACGATACGATTGACGAAGAAGTCATGAATCGGGCATGACTACGGCACGATATCCGGAAACATTCGAGGACGGGACCGGAGCAATCGCACTAAGCCTAAGTTTTAGCAACATCTAATTTCATTTTATCTAAATGAAGATATGGTCCACTGGAAACAACATGAAGGACTCTTTTTGTCACCTGCAAGTCAAAATCTTTCGTTTGATTCAAGAGCAAAGAGGTCTTTGAAGAGACCTCGCCAACGTGTCCATCTCTATTTCTTCACTTTATACTTTTAAGGCCCTGCTTTAAGGGCGGAGGATTATCGCTGTAAGTCTCTAGAGGTGTTAGGGTGGGAGATGTAGCCTCAAATTTCCTGGAAAGCTTCTAAATTGAGAGAGGAAGAAGTATCCGCTCCACAAAACTCTCATCTGGATCCCGGCTAAACGAAACTCCCCCTTGCCCCGCATCTCGCATTTCACATCAATACCGATATTATTCCACAGGCATGTTTCCTTGGAAATGGTTAGCAGTTATGGGCGCCTGTTTGTAAGTAGGCAAAATCATTCGTTCAGGTCGAAATCAATTTATTCCATCTTAATTAGCCAGTTAATTCCATTAACCACGCACCACAGAAGGAAAGTGTATTCCCGCTTCGAGATCTTGAGTAGACTTCCGACTTCCAGTGGTTTTACTAAGCAGTAAGGCAGCAGATGCTTCAGGCAAAGTAGACAAGTAGAAGAAGGACTAAACTTTTCTTTACCACCACCCTCCTCTCAAGTTGTAAGGAGGTATAGGGTAGCAATACTTCAATTTCGGGAAGAAACGACTAACCCGAACTCAATAGCTTGAGCCGCCATAGTAACCTCCACCATAGTTGCTTCCGCCGCCGTAGCTGCTTCCAGCGCCATAGTAGTCTCCACCGCCATAGCCATTTCCACCGCCGTAGCCGTTTCCACCGCCATAATAGTTGCTTTGGTATCCCCCGAAGTTAAATTGCTGTCTTCCATTTCCACTAATCATCGATCGAATCACGAATCAGAGTCGGGCTGAGGTTCAACTCACTTTTTCATCAATCAAAAGATTTTTCCTCTGCACGACCAAAGAAAACTCGATTGCAATCGTACCCGAATCCAGCCGTTTCTCCGGACTTTAACGGTCCAGAAGGTGCTGGTGGTGCTGGTGGAGGTGGCTCGTTAACGAGCTAAAGGTAGTCATTTAACGGAACAGCGTTCGAGCCGTGGCGAAGGCGAAGACACGAGTAGCACAGGGCGTCCACTGCGGAGACCTGCGAAGAGAGAAAGCACACAACAGTTTTCTTATTCCCTCTTTCATATTCTACGCGTTATGAATCATCTAGTGCCCGCCATGTATCTCTCTGGATTTTGTTACGAAAATGTATCAAAATGGAGAAAAATGAGGAATTCCTCAAATGGGTCATCACGAGACTGGGATGCTCTACTAAAACGGGATTTGCAAGAGTATGGAATAAGTATCCCTGTGAGATCGAAATTCTTCTATAATGTTCCCTTTCCAGTAACCCCAGAGAACATGTTCGCCTTGGAAAATGTGTTCGTTGAGAATTGGACGTTGCAGCCGATCACCGTGGAAAGTGTTTCAACAAAATTAACGTTTCACAAGAAAATGTAATTTGGGAAAAGAAAGACAAAACATGAGGAAACTCACGACAGTGGCGCCGAGAAGGAATGCAAGGGTGAGAACAAGCTTCATCTTCTGCCAGTCAACTGATGCTATCTAGAGCTCGGATATGTCGCTGTGCGTATGAGAAGGGTTCTGCATGCGATTATATAGTAAACTATTTTATTATTACCTCGTCCAACCGAGGTCGCATTCCGTGTCCTTGTTGTCTGGTGGAAGCAAGGCTGCACTCCCAAGGTAGACCATGATTTATACTTTCTGTTGTGCAGTCTTGGTCAGGTAGGAATGTGTTTGCAAACGGAAAGTCGATTTCTAACATTTTCAGAGAAAGAAGCAGAGAAAGCTTCATGGAAATTCAATGGCCTCCCTTGGATGAATTTTGGAAGGCTACTCAAGAGCTGTTGTTGACAGTGTTGGAGGCACTTTCAAAGCCCCTCCAACCTTCGCATCACTTCCCTAAGTTTTTCGTTTCCTCACTATCCTTGTGCTTTTCCGACGCCTTTTCAAACTTATTTTCTGATTGATATTTTAATTTATTTTTTTTTGTTCATGCTTTTTAGCTAGAATTGCTTTTCCAGTCACAATTGAATTCAAAGTAACTGCAAATTGTATCATATATTTGCGCAATATTCAAATCATCACGTATGAGAGTACATATTTAACATGGCAGGCTTTTGGGTACTTCGCATCTGCAAGAGCTGTAGTTTAGAAGATTCGCTCTATGTCATGTGGACCAAAAACTGCTCTAAGCAGAAATATTATTTTCTTCATGAAAACAGTTTTTTTCGAATAGGGTGGCTAAAAAGGAGAACTACTTGATTCGCGTAAAAATGCGTATAGGTCATACAAATAGCCTCCCTGCCACTGTTTCCGTTATCCACGTCGATTTTTCTCCCTTCCTCCTTCATTTCCTTAATTCTTGCCATTTTTCAACAACTTCCTATTTGCACACTATTCCATGTCATATTTCCTATCATTTGTGTGCATTGTTTTTTAAATTTTAGATTACAGATAGTACTACCTCTGAAAAGAAGGTAGCACCATTTCCTTTCCTCTACCAAGATCATATCAATTCACATCCCAGACCAGCCGCCATATAACCCTCGTGGAACTTGTGCAGGCAAGGTCGTAGTCACAAGGTGACACTGTCTGGTATGACTGAGGTCGCAATCCACAGATCACTTGCGTCCTTGTTTGTATACGATCGCAGTTCCAAGGACCTGGTGAGTTAGAATTCGAAGGAATTAGGGGAAGAGCACACGCCAGGAAATGGCTGGAATCCGCTAAACTATATCACTTCTATTACGTTCATCACATGAAGGAACAGCAAAGCAAGGCAATTTCGACGCTGATGGAATAAGGACATCCCGTCATACTGAATAACAAGAATGCATTTGGCCCAGGAAGAAGGGCGTTTGGAGGTGAAGAAGCCCATCTTAGAGTACTGTATATACTGGAAATTGCCAGTCCTTTGAGACGTATATCCCTCAAGGAATAAAATGTACTTTCAGATCATCAAAGCAAGCGTATGCTTTATCTCCAAGTTTAAAATACTAACCAAGTTTATTCTCGTACTATCCTGGTTTTTGGCTTCAACGTATCATCGACAGAAATCGACTACAATATCTGTGTTTCCAGGCAGATGATGTCTTGCCATACTGCTCTTGAATTTTCATTTGTTTTACTATCTCCACCCTCGTGATCCTTTCAATCTATTTCGTATTGAACGCAATTCCTGAATGTCATTCCCACGCATTGTGTGCAGTGAACGGTCTGTAAACGGTGCAGTGTCTGGTCTGGTCCTCTACCCATTCGACGATGAGAAAGGCTCATCAGATTGCAGAATGCACCCGGGAAGCGCCTGTGTGCAGAAAGGGTCAAGCATGACTCGGACCTTCCTGACCGTGTACGCTCTATATCTTCCCACCCATCATGTGTCCAATCTCTTTCGCTCATAACGGCATCATCAAAGTTGGTCCCGATTGTCCTCTCTTGTATTGCCAGTCTCGAGAAACTGTAATCCATATGATGCCGCTAGATAACCTAAAGATGTTAATCTTGGAACATTGATACTGCCAGTGTGCGAGGATTTTCCTCCTCATTCATCCTCCTCAGAAACTGCTACTGCTACTCATCATTGTCTCTCTCATAGACCTCGTAACTGCGTCCTTCGGTATACCAGAAAGCTTGAAACCTTCACACGGAGACCTTGCTGGCACCGAACAGATTGGAACAGGACTCCAACCTGCGCTGAGCAATCAGTCACACAGGTGGAAGAGAACGGCTTCGCTATAAAACGGCAAGCGGAACCCCAGCGATGAACACAAGTACGAACTGAACCTTGTGAAGCTCGCATCGGCAGACAGGAAAATGAGACTCATTCTTTTCTTTGCATTTCTTCTAAGCGCCACAGCCGTGAGTTTCTACAACTTGTCCTATTCCATCCATTTCACGAAACAATGACATTATTTTCGTTGGTAATTGATGAGGATACTGGGATGAATGCCCTCTTAATCGTGCTTCTATCCCTGAGGTTCAGGGAGAGAATTTAAAAGCAAATCATGATCTTCCAGGGACATTTCTCTGATCACGTTTTCACGACGTTGTCGTAGGCTTTCCCTTGTATAATTCTCATTCATTTCAGAAATACTTCATTTTAGAATAATAGCATATTATCTTTCCTTTTAGAGAGTAATCACTCTTACAATGCATGAGTGGAGGGCAATGAATTAAAGGTTGCTTATCCCGAATGCCAACCAACTTGGAAAATTGTTCCTTTTTATCTTGAAAGCTCCCAGTCGAGAACGAGGACGGGTCGAAGAGAGATGCTGGCGGCGCTCCTGAGTTGCGCCAGAGCCAAGAGGTGAAATTGCTCGAGGAATTGCTCGCTATGAGTGGCAAAGGCGGATCTGGCAAATCCTCGGGTGGGGGAGGTGGTGGGGGCAGTGGTGGGGGCAGTGGTGGGGGTGGATTCGGGTGAGTCTGACGAAAAATCCATTATTCAATGGAACCCTAGGAAGTAGGGGAGAAATTCCTTGTAACGGAGGTGATTGAAACCCATTCTTTCTCCATGCTATCAAGTTGCCGATTCTCATCACGCTGAGGCAAATTTCGAATTTGACGGCGAATTGAATACTCTTTGACGCACAGAGGAGCTTCCATGGGAATACCCTTCACATAGTGATAAGAAACCCTCAGAAAATGAGAATACTTGAAAAATGCAGCAACCATGATTCTAGCTTGGCCACGAACGTTTTTTGGAAGCTTGAATCCAAAATCTATCGAGAACTGTTCCCTTGAGTTTGGAGCGGTACAAATTTACATGGGATACTACTCATTCATCCACTCGAACGAGATAACAGAGATAGAACTCGTGAGTCGAATCTCTTAAGAATAGCCCACTGTGCGAGTCATCTATATCTCGATTTAGAGATGAAGCGCGGAACGGACTTTTAGACAAGGCAATCGTGTAAAATTAGCTCCAGTTAACCAGATTCGTTTTCTTCTCCATTCTCCCAAATTTTCCCTCCAGCCACGTCATTCTTTGTTACAACAGCTCCAGAGATTGTTATGTAAGAGGGTGAACGGGCAGTCACAAGGAAAACCTTCGGGGCATTTATTACAAGGATGTCAAATATGTTGATGCGGATTATTCCCGTGATTTAAAGTTAGTTCCTTCATTTGTTTTCGATCAGAGGAGGAGGCTCATCTGCATCATACCCTTCGTACGGAGGAGGAAACGGAGGAGGATATGGAGGAAGCTATACCGGATACGGTGGAGGATACGGTGGAGGATACGGAGGAGGATACGGTGGAGGATACGGAGGAGGATACGGTGGAGGATACGGCTATTGATCGCCAGTTAGTTTTCCGTTGGGCATTGTGATATCAAAACTGAGATGACTCTGTTTTCAGGAATGCATTCATCAACATTAATTTATCTGCTTGATTTTCAAACAAGGAAGGAGAGGCATTAGTCAAACGATCTTGGGAGACGACCGAGTGACATATTCGTGGTTGGAAACTCAACAGGTTCTTTTGAATACGTCCAGGGGCCGAGAAGAATATTTTCCTTCGGCGGAGAGTGGTTTAAATGTAAATTTCATTCATAAACATCTCCTGGACGAATTGATTCCACCCTCCCTTCCTGGACTTGCCCTTTCTCTTTTTTGAAGAATGAAGGTAGGTTTTAAGCAAAAATGGACTTATTTAGTGGGAACAAGTAATGCTTGGTTCGCATAGAGATAAGGCGACCTGATGTGTGTGATGCGGAAGAAAAGACACTTACTTCATTTTAGACCGTTTGCGGTATCTTCATGGAAATTTGCACGAATTCCTATATGCGTTCGCGAGTGTGACAATAATGATTTTCCTCCATCTGCTTTCATACGTGACCGGCTTCTGAAGTCGTGAAGTTTGAAGTTAGGTTGGCCCAATCGATCCGACATGATCCTGCCCGTAAAGCTCATTCGACGATCCAGTTCAGATGATGCGCGGCCCCTTTCTCGAAACGAGCAGATTGTGGCGCGTTCGAGAAAGTCTACTCGTGCAGGCAAGTACGTCTTGTGCAAGTGGCGCTTTTTCAAGCGGCGAATGTAAGAAATCCCGCATTGACTTCTCAACTCCAATAATTCATTCAATCGAGGAAATTTTAACCAATAGGAAAACCAATTATTTTATGAAGCAGCTGCTGCAGTTCATTATGACACACAGGAAGTAGGAATGCGACAAAACTTCGGTTTGGTCTGATAGTTCAACCTATGCTGCTCATAGAATGACGATGGGAGGATGGAGGATGGATCCACCCTCGGGGAAGGCTATTAGCGTGATTCCATCGAGACTAACATAATCGCACGCAGAGTATGGATACTGTATATAGCACACATAAAAAAATACAAAATTATGCTAGTAGTGCTGGTAAACAAACTGAGACACTCAAAACATACACGTGGTTCGCCCGCTCCACGAAACTCTCCCTTTCCTGGCATCTGGCATTTCACATGAATACCGATGGCATTCCACCTGCATGTTTCCTTGGAAACGGATCTTATATCACCGTAAATCTTACGAGTTCATCGCACGCATATATGGGTTTTTGAAGGTTAAGCATTAGAGGAGCCTACCATCCATAAATCCTTTCTTGAAAACGTTTAGTTCTTTTTTTATCAGGGCCGGTTCATAAATTATTTTCTTTACTCTGACTACATGAAGACATATAACACGTTTACATTACGTTACATCTCGTTCCAATGCATGAATACAGCTTACTATCACATCTTCAATGCAAACCCAAACAAGAGTTCCAAGCACTCACTACTTCTCTTCCCTTTTAACATTCTTCCACTGAAGAAAAATATTGCAGCACAAAACAACATACAAGTGAGATTTTTCAAGCGCGAAGAAATTATTTTTCTTTTAAGAGTCTCTCCATTCCTGAAAAGAAAGGGACAACTTATGGTCCCGGACTTTGGGTGTCCAACGATAACAGAAAATATATGCCTGACCGATGCAAATATTGTGATGCAGATTGATATGAACAATATACAGGCCGAGTTCCTTTTTGCAAAATTAGTCCTGATATTCCCTTCTTTTGCGAAATTTGGATTGGAAAATTCATTTGCGCCAGAATGGCATGGCTTCCAGTGAGTCCTCGAGGACCTAGACCACGTCGGACCCAGGCCTCCGGCTTCGGTGCCATGTCTCCAACAAGCGCTGTCAGTTCTCTACTAACCTTTGTGCCATATATATAAGGAAGGAATGTGATTCTTGATGATCGTGGGCTGGAAAGAGATGCGTTTTTTCGAGAGGGTGACAAAGTGAGGGTCTCCACAAATGAAAGGAGACGCACCTCTGGTCTCAGCTTCCTCATCTTGTCTTTGGTCTATCTGCATGTGCCCGAAATCCCAGCGCTGGTCGACCTTTCCAAATCCGAACCGATCCGCCCGATTCGAATGATGGCCCGTACCTGACCCGGAACTCGGTCGCCTTCCGAGCTACGTGAGCCCGTCTTCTAATCTTCCCGATCCGGTCGGTTTCCTTTTCCGAAGGAAACAATTCCATTTCTTACATTTAATTCTCGACGCTCCACCTGCCTATTTCGATCCTGATGGACAATCACTGCGTATTGTGCCTTTATCATTCTCAAATACGATCAGGTTTAAACGTATCTTGGTTTTAAAATCCCTGTCAACAGATCCGGGAAGCAGGGAAGACACATTCTCATCCGAGGCTTCGACAATAGACCTGATATCACGATACGCTCGGAAATAATGGTTGCATTAATGAAAATAGAGAAGCCAATCATGGGATGATGGGTCCAGGGCGACTTGGATGTTATTCTGTGCTCTGGTGCCAGGGTCATGGCATTCCTTGGGTTCGTGAGTATCACGAGGTCTTCCTCTTCACATTCATGGAAATAAATATGAATAAAAGTAGCAAAGAGACGTTTAGACATTTTATTCGAAAAAGTAACTGCAATTTCTGAGAGTGGTCATACGGAAACAAAGCTCATTGTTCACTCTGATCGGGGTTCATTTATAAAAGAAATTATTCAAAGGAAATATGAAGGTAGGATCATTGATATTCATGGTGTGGATATTTCCTGCTTGAAATGAAATGATATTCATTAAATTGATGTTTAAAAACAATGGGGTGGAGGCGAACATGCTCCCAGCCGGGGAACTAAATGACTTATTTTCCCGAAAGCTGCGAAGCCCCCAGAAAATGAATATGTCTTTCGGTCATCTCCCAAGATGGTTCCAATGGTCATCATCCGGCTACTGAATCAGAAAGAGAATTCCAAGAGATTGCATTCCTGCACTGGATCGGCGTTGTTTAGGCTTATGCAACCGTGCAGTAAAAAAAAAAGGCTAACCTGCTCTCAATAGTTTCCGTAGGCACTTGCGCTTCCTTCTCCGTATGCACTTCCGTAATCACTTCCGTATACACTTGCCAATCCTACTCCATATGCACTTGCCAATCCTACTCCGTATGCACTTGCCAATCCTCCTCCGTATGCACTTGCCAATCCTCCTCCTAATGCATTTGCGAATCCTCCTCCGTATGGTGAAAAGCTGTCACAAGAGGATGAGCACACACTAGTGCAGCCGCATGAATCGAATTGAGCATATCTCTTCCAGAAGGAAACTGGTCCACTGCGTGACATCGACGAGCAAAGAGATTCGCAATCACAATTGCATTCTGCTCCATCTCTCTTTAGGGCTTGGTCGTTCTCGGCTTGGAGCTAAAAAGAAAAGGAACAATCTTCTTTGGTGCCTACATTTTACAAAAGGAGGAATATTCAATTCATTGAATGCCAGTCAACATGATTCTAAATTTTTACGTTTTTGTTTCTAAAAATATATATTTCAGTCATTGTATAAGTTGATTGGGTATGGAGTTGCTTTAAAATGGATTCTGCTTTAAGAATTCGAGAGCACGGATTTGGACCGCGGTGAATTCGAGAGATTTTCGGTGATGTCAAATTTTCCTGAGTTTAAGTCGGACGATGAAGGGATACGAAAGGAAGCAAGAAGAGAGCGTGATCAGTGAAGTTCTCCTCGATGGCGATAATTTGTCATTTCGCCCTCTGAACCTTGGGTAAATCATCTAATGCGGAACTGAATCTGGGTTCCTTCATCGCACCATCGTGGAGAAAGGCATTGCATATTCGAATTGAACAAAACAAGTGAAATATTGAAGAGACTCACCGCGTTGGCGCTTAGAAGGAGTGCAAAAAGGAGAATCGGCATCATCATCTTCATGTCCTCTGCTGGAAGCTTCAAAAGACTCAGCTTGTTCCTGTTGTTCATCGTGAAGGTTCTGCGTGTCCATTTATATCGACCTGTTCTATCCGCATCTGCATGGCCCCCGTTCAATGAAGGCTGCATTCATATGACCGTGGTCCGGTGGGACCAAGGTCTCAGTTCGTATGTTTCCTGCAATCTGACCTACTGAAGTGCGCAGTCACATAGTCACGAGGCCCTTAGGAGAGTGATTCATTCATAGAAATTGCAATTCCTGAGCTGGAAATGAGTACATTTTGTTCTTGTTCCAGCCAGACACGAGGCCCGACGTGGCGCAAACCAACGAGATCACTCCCGGAAAAGGACGCACTCCTTTACTCGTCTCAAGGGAAGTGTATCTAATTATCTCGTTTCGAGCAACCTTTTTTGTATTAGAACTCAGTCTCAGAAAACTTCGCCTAGGAAAACCCAGACCTATAGCTAAGTTTCTGTCGATGATATGCTCAGTGTCGTAACTGGGTAATTTGCCGCCAGGGGCGAGTGACTGTCACTGCCGCCGCCATTGTTTTTAAACATCAATTTAATGAATATCATTTCATTTCAAGCAGGATCACATGATGCAACTGAAGCTGGCAAGGTCAACAGAATTTTGAAGTGCTGTGGCCAATGTTTTATAGGCCTTCAATCCCATTGATGAAATGTATATGAGTAGCCCCTGTGGAGAGTAGTCCAGTTCTACAACTGATTGTTTTGCTCTTTTGAGAGAAGCAATGATATCCTTATAGTCGTCATACAGTTCAGATCCGGTCAAGTAATTTAGATAAAGAAGCGCCAGATCAACACACTTCTTACGGAGCTCGGTAAGCTGCTCATCAGCTTCACAATTCAACTGATTGACGAAAGATTCAGTTGTGCAGAGAAAACCAAACCGATTCTGTAATTCTAAACTCATATCTAAAACTCATATCTATTTTTATCCCTTCAGCATGATTTCCAAAACGTTTTGCCAATTTTCAACAAATTCCTATTTTCCGTGTATCTGGCGCATCGTTCCAGGGTCAGCGTTCCAAGCGCTAGACCACACTGACTCCAGCGTTAGAAGTGTAGTGGACGCAGGAACAAAGCTCTGTTGGAATAAGGGTACCTGGGCACCGTTAATGTTCCTATGTGTGCTTATAGGGAATGGCAGGTATCCGCCAAACTATCCGTCTCCTCGTGACTGCGCTCTGGAGTGCGTCAGAATGCAAAGACATCCAAACTGAGACCTTGGTTCCACCGGATCACTTCCCATATGAAAGCAGCCTTCTCTGTACGGGGCCATGCAGTTGCAGATACAGCATTTCCCTATAAAATGACCCGCTGAACGTTTGCGATGAACACAGGAACGAGCCGAATCTTGTGAAGCTTCCAGCAGCAGACAGAAAGAAGATGATGACAATTCTCTTCTTTGCCCTCCTTCTAAGCGCCACCGCGGGAAGTCTCCACAATATTTCATTTTTTATAAATTCGAATATGCAATGCCATTCTTCGCCAAGCGATATGGAGAGGAATGCCCTTCCCAATGGAAGACTTCCTCGTGGAGACTTCTCAGAGACGGAGTTTGAACCAAATTTAGGGGGGGCAGAAGCCCCCCACAACCCCCCCCCCCCCCACCTCGCTAAGCAACTGATCCCTGGTCTTCCAGCCAAGGACGTTTAAAGTTAGATCAAACGCATGCCTATTCAGTCTCTCGTGGCCCTTTCAAGAGTACGTGTAACGTAAGATCGATTAGAGGTCTGCTTTGAGTTTCAAGAACCAAGTCAATGCGAGTAACGTTTGGCCTATCTTGAGTTCCTCGAGCCGTCTTGACGAGTCCTGAGAAGAATGCCGCAGGGAAGCACGGATTACAACGTGGGCGACAGAAAGAGATATCTCCACATCCTACCAAATCGATTTGCCATTGCTCGCCACCATTTCAATCTCGGCTCATCTAATGAACTCGGCACAAAATTATCTCATACATGAGAAAGCAGTAGATCCAGACACCGATACTAGGACCGTAGAAGTCACGAATCTAAGACACGATATCCGGCAGCACTGGAGAACGGGATCCGAGCCATCACGCCAAGCCTAAATTAAGGGCATCTGATTTCATTTTTTTAAATGGCGAAATGGTACATTGGAAGCATCAAAAAGGACACTTTCTGTCGCCTACTGTCGATATCTCTCGTTTAGTTCTCTCCAACCTCCCAAAGCTCCTCCCTCCTATAAAGGTGGGGGAGAAAAGAAAACATTCCGAAATGAAATTCACACCTGAAAAGCGAGATGCAGTGATGTATTTGCTGGAGCAATTCTTTTTTTGGGAGAGGAAGAACTATGCTAAATTTCGTTACTGTTGCTTTTACTCAGAGAAGATTATGAGACTCTGTAATTTTTTCGCCTTATGGGGTTGAAGATTGGTAATTGGCGCTTCCAAAGCTAATTAAAATGAAATTGATTGAGACACAGAAAGCAATGCACGTCCATCGTGGCTGCATTTCGCAGGTAGTACGTTATAGACCGATGAGTATAAAATAATAAATGGAGGTGTTGCTTCCGGAAATAAATAAGACACCATGAAATCGACCCGACCGGATGGATGGGACCGGCTCACGTAGCTCGGAAGGAGACGGAGTTCCTCGTCATGTTATGTTCGATACTGGGAATCAGGCCGATCGGGTCGGATTCGGAATGGTCGACCCGCACAGGCCGCGAAAATATCAATATTTCCGCAAGGATGCATATCTGTGCAGCAACATTTTTTTCTTTCGAGGAAGAATGTCTTCTTCAGAAAAATGAGGGGCTCTAAAAGGAAACTACTTGATCCACATTCGATATGGTTTTAATTTATTCAAATGTATAAACCCAGATGCTTAAGAATGAGCACCAACGCAATTTTTCCATCATGTCAGGAGTCCCTTCTGCTTTTTTGTCATTGGTACTTGATTTTTGTAACATTGCTTGAGTTCCTCAAGTCTTCCTGTAATTTCTAATTCCTTTGGTCTGTATTGGAAATGACATTGAAAACCACGTGGTGATTGTGTCGATCTTTGTGTTATATATGGGTCGTCGGAGGTAAAACATTAAAGAGGCCTACCATCGATGAGTCCTTTCATGAAAAAGGTTTGTTGTATTCAATTCAGACTCCATACACTCTTCTTCCTGGCGCGTCATTTATAGTAGAATAATCGAAAGGGGCTCGTAGAGATACAAGATTGGTTTATTCCATACTTCATCAATCATTCGACACGAGGAGTTAGTTGTTCAGGAAGTCCCAGATGAGTTTGTTGACCTGGTCGGGCGCTTCCTGCTGAACCCAATGACTCACCCCAGGAAGTTTCACCATCTTCAATCCTTCCACATAACGGGACGTGGCATCCGCCGTCTCCGTGGAAAGCGCGACGTCTCCCGTGCCAAAAACGAGCATGCTTGGTGTTTTTATCTTCTTCTTCATCCACTTCTCCTTCCCGCCTCCCGCGAAATCGATGCAACGGTAGAAATTGATAGGGGGTGTCATGGAACCTGACGGCATAAAATCGCAAAATAATACCTGGCGGAAAATTATCTTAGGAAAAATAATTTTTCGTCACGTATTGGATTCTACTGGCCTTTGAATACTTATTGTTAAGAAGCAGGGACAAATGTTAAAGCAAGCTTCCGGTTGAATGCAAAATCACTGAATGCTTTCTTTGCTATTTTATAGGTTTTATATTTTCGCATGACTGATATTATCCGATGAAATAATTAGTGCTTCATGTTTCCAAGTCAACTTTCATGAGAAATGCCCTTTCACATAACTCCCCGTTATTAAGTCCAGAAAGCCACAATTCAGGGTTCAGCATTTGTGAATATAAACAGCTACCCGCTGAGCGATTAACTCTTCAGCACGTGACCCTAACCTTACCCTATGTCATTTCATACCTATTCGTAAGTTAAAGCGTATGGTCATTGACCGAAAACATTGGAAGAACTTGAGAGTACCACGCACTGGTAAAATCCACTGTAGTGGATGCTCCAAAATAATCCAGCCCAGAATCAAAGTTTTTCATTTGCGAAGAGAGCATCCACATTGGCACCGTTGAGCAGATGTATCAATATTTTGCAGGAAAACATTTTTCAATTGGTTAAAAATTGAATTTGTCTATGAAAAAACTTTGATACTATCTTTTGTGGATTACTTACTCAAAAAATTAAATAGTCAGTCACCTTTCATGCACCCTGTTGTGAGTGACCAGCTCAAGCAAACAGTACAACTCCCGTGTCTCAAAACACACTTACGACTGACTGTTAACCTAATATAAGGATGTGGTAATAACAAGCACAGGTTGATATAGATTTCCTTAATACTTCTTGCATCAGAGTTGGTATTGCCACTCCCATCTTTCTCATTAGCGAATGTTTAAAGTAACGATTAATCTGAAAAAAATGTGATTTTGATGGTCGTTGCAATACCACAACGATTTTGAGAAAACACAAGATAGTAAAGTGAAGAAGAAAGTTTTAACAAATAATAATTTAGCCAAAGAACTGGAAGTAAGAAGCGGAATCACAGAGATTTCGATGTCGTATGAAAAAGGGACCTGGTTTGGAGAAGTTGTACTTGTAGGCCTCGATATCCTCATCTGTGATCCGGGATTTTTTCTTATCTCGCCCCCGAAAGGCTTCATCCAGTATAGCCATGTCATTGATTCGGAAGAGAGCTTCCGGAAGCCACGGCAATTGGAACAGGAACTTATACCTTTTAGGGAAAATACAATAAAGGAGGGTATGCAGAGTGTGATGGGTTTTCGCAAGAACTGGAAACGTTTGCACCGTCATGAAGTAATAGGTCGACAGAGAGAGCCTTTCACAGACTGCTTTTAAGAATGCATTTACAAGTGAAGCAGCTCAACGTGATAAAAGAAAAGAGATGAAGATTCGAAGAGAAACAATTATCCTGACCAGGACATACGAAACTGCTTGAAAGAAGATCGAATGGTGGAGTGGAAGGCAGACGGATGAATGCAGTTGAAGGCGATGAATTTCTCCACCAGTTCCGGGTGTTCAGACACGAACCTCCATCCCAAGGCGCCGCCCCAATCGTGGGCCATCAGCACTCCGCATTTCTCCTTCCCTGGTTCACGCAAAGACAGAATTGCACTTCAAATATCTTCACCCATTGGTAATTTAAAATCCTGATGTGAAGCTTAGGTTTTGACGCAGATAAGATAGGACTGACCGCCCAGCTCCCGGTTTTTCTTTGTTGTTCATTCATTGCGCTAAATAATTTATTCCTCTTTCCCTCTCATTCCCTTTCTTTCCTCTCTATCAGTCCAATAACGAGTGATCAGCATTTATTTTCAATATCTTTTATTGTACGATATATTGGAACGAATGTTTAGGGCTTAAAGGACAAGACATTTTGTTGCATTTTTAGGAAATTTGTGATGGTCCCCTCTCCAAGGATAGCTCCTTTCTTCCCTGCGAATAATGACAGAATGAAGACCCAAGAATGTGTGTTATCATTCAGGCTTAAAAGAGAAAATTATGTCTTTCGTATTTCTCTTCTACATTTGCGAATTCAGACTGAATTAAAGGGGTAAAATGCTTTTCTACTTCCTAAACGAAGTAACATGACAAGTCCCCTCATTGGAGGTTTGCATTCTCATTGAAGACAGTCCTTCGATCTAACAATTCACTTGGAACTTCAAACAAGACTGTACTCAATACTTTATCAGATCGCCCTCAAGAACAAAGGAAAAGCAAAACGGGAACTTGTCCTGCTGGTAAGCTTTAAAAAAGTATCTATATGGGGGGAAGGAGAAAGTCTATATTTTGTCCTTTTTTGTAGTTGTCAAGAATATTTTGTCCACGTGAGAACCGAATGAAACTCCGATTGTAAGTCGCTGTGTGACCTGAAAGCGGACTTGTAAGTCTATTAACGGGATGAGGCATATCCATCTCCGAATCGATAGCCGGCATTCAGTGCTCATTGAGTTGACGGTGTAGGCGCGGAGACAATTATGCAGAAAATCTGACACCCAGTTGAAAGATGAACTCCATTTCTAAGCAGAGAAGCGTCTGTGCTCTGATACCGATGATTACGAAACGCGATAACCTTATCTAGGACCTTAAGAAACTGGAACGAGTCGGATGGGACACAGTCGAAGTCTGTTTGGCATTAACAAAAACCAGAAAATCTCCTCTTTCATCTTTCGACTGAGTAACAATCGATATCTGTGAGGGGCATCCATGTCTGGCAAATGAATACTGCCCTATTTCGTGTTTCTTTACATTGTACTTATGTTAACTTGCGGGAAGGAGGGGGCAGCAGGACGTCGTCGCCGAAATCCAGGGCAAGCCAAACTCCAAAGTACATAACTTTCTCTCAGTCCATAAGGACAGCGATTAGGGAGGAGGACCATCTGGCCAAGTAAGAAATCCTCTTGAGGAACGTCCGTCAAGTTAAGGGAAGGAGGACCTCCCCTATTGTTTACCAAGGTTGAACTCAGGAAATCCCTACCTTCCTCGTTTCTCCCTGTTCTTCCCCCATTCTAATTCATCTCCCTAGCGCTTTCGCTTTTTATCTGGCTCAGCACTCTTCACCCATGAGTAAATTCCTGTGAATGATAAGTGCTCATATTTTATTCATAACTCTGGTGGGCGGGAAGCGCGTTCAGAATCCAGAATCAGAGCATTCATTCCAAGAAGCCAGAGCATTTACCTGATTACCAATTCTGCCGAGGGTCATGACGAAATAATCACTCTTCCACTTTTCCATGTGCCGAACCCAATTAATATCTTGTGTTAATTTCCATTCAATCAGTCTGTACCGTGATTTCATTATTATCCCGTCTTAATCTCCGCAGTAGGTTAGTCGTATTTCCTAGCGAAGATGTGGCACGCCATGAGAACTTCCTTCCCTGAAACTTTATCAAAGTCGCAGGAGGCGTTAAGTAGAATAAGGTGTGACGAGTTTGTTGCTGTAAGCACCTAGTGCAGGTATGAGCTGACGGATGTCGTCGACGAGATTATTCATATGGTAAGCGTGCTTGTCTTCCGGCTTATCAGATTCCCCATATCCCCTCAAGTCTACTGCAACCACCCTGAGGAAGAAAAGGAATTTCCATGGAGATTGTCTTCATATAAGTGGTGTAAAATGTTGTTCCCTCGTCAGACTCACCAGTACTGATTGGAGAACTCGAGAAGCTGGTGTCTCCACGAGTACCAAAACTCGGGGAATCCATGAAGACAAAGCATTAATGGATTATTCTGATCTCCCTTCGCCACGTAGTGCAGCGACAAGTCCTGACAAAGGAAATGCATTAAATAAATGTGTTCAATCAAATAATAAATCATAATAAAAACAATGATTGTTCAATCAGACACATGAAACTATCAATGTCGGTAAGCGCTAAACCTTAAGTCTGGCATATCCATGCGTGCCGAGTTCTGGATTGGAAAGACACAGCGGAGGAACTGGTCGGGAACGATAGCCCCAGAAGCTGAAGGAATACTTGGCCCAATCCCAAAGAGCGGAGATGAGGCTAAGAGTCGCATAAAACGCCCCCAGCAGGTAGATGACCGCCGTCACCATCACCTCCTTCATTCCCATCTTGGAATTCCAAGCACCTGCAATGTATTCCAAGGCGATAGAATGATTAGGGTTATGACCATTCTAATCCGGCTCAATCCCTATAACCGATTGGCAGCCAATCAGCTAGATTTTGCAGGAGCGTCAGCGAGAAACGAAAGTGACGGATTCATTTAAAAAAAAACGCCCTCTTCCTCCAGAAGGTTCGCATGATATGCAAGAAAGATACGAAACTCCTTTTCTTCTTTACTGCTTAACATGTGATCCGCAACGTTTCCTCACGCCATGAATTGTATTGTGATGATCGCATCATTAGAAATCGGTTGATTCTCAGACGTTCTTGTCTGTCTAATTTACTGCCGCTTANTCCGCGCCTCTGTTAATACGTCTTTTAGACTGTGGGTCAACTTTCTACTTGAGGTAAAGATTCGTCTCTTCGCAGACACGAGACTATGGCTACTAATGCTTTGCGCTATTGGAATAGATCCTGGAATCGAAACTGGAACGAGTCGGATGCGACACAGTCGAAGTCTGTTTGGCATTAAGAAATACCAGAAAATCTCCTCTTTCATCTTTCGACTGAGTAACAATCGATATCTGTGAGGGGCATCCATGTCTCGCAAATGAATACTGCCCTATTTCGTGTATCTTTACATTGTACTTATGTTAACTTGACGGAAGGAGAGGGCAGCAGGCCGTCGTCGCCTACATCCATGGCAAGCCAAACTCCAAAGTACATAACTTTCTCTCAGTCCATAAGGACAGCGATTAGGGAGGAGGACCATCTGGCCAAGTAAGAAATCCTCTTGAGGAACGTCCTTCAAGTTAAGGGAAGGAGGACCTCCCCTATTGTTTACCAAGGTTGAACTCAGGAAATCCCTACCTTCCTCGTTTCTCCCTGTTCTTCCCCCATGCTAATTCATCTCCCTAGCGCTTTCGCTTTTTATCTGGCTCAGCACTCTTCACCCATGGGTAAATTCCTGTGAATGATAAGTGCTCATATTTTATTCATAACTCTGGTGGGCGGGAAGCGCGTTCAGAATCCAGAATCAGAGCATTCATTCCAAGAAGCCAGAGCATTTACCTGATTACCAATTCTGCCGAGGGTCATGACGAAATAATCACTCTTCCACTTTTCCATGTGCCGAACCCAATTAATATCACGTGTTAATTTCCATTCAATCAGTCTGTACCGTGATTTCATTATTATCCCGTCTTAATCTCCGCAGTAGGTTAGCCGTATTTCCTAGCGAAGATGTGGCACGCCATGAGAACTTCCTTCCCTGAAATTTTATCAAAGTCGCAGGAGGCGTTAAGTAGAATAAGGTGTGACGAGTTTGTTGCTGTAAGCACCTAGTGCAGGTATGAGCTGACGGATGTCGTCGACGAGATTATTCATATGGTAAGCGTGCTTGTCTTCCGGCTTATCAGATTCCCCATATCCCCTCAAGTCTACTGCAACCACCCTGAGGAAGAAAAGGAATTTCCATGGAGATTGTCTTCATATAAGTGGTGTAAAATGTTGTTCCCTCGAGTACTGATTGGAGAACTCGAGAAGCTGGTGTCTCCACGAGTACCAAAACTCGGGGAATCCATGAAGACAAAGCATTAATGGATTATTCTGATCTCCCTTCGCCACGTAGTGCAGCGACAAGTCCTGACAAAGGAAATGCATTAAATAAATGTGTTCAATCAAATAATAAATCATAATAAAAACAATGATTGTTCAATCAGACACATGAAACTATCAATGTCGGTAAGCGCTAAACCTTAAGTCTGGCATATCCATGCGTGCCGAGTTCTGGATTGGAAAGACACAGCGGAGGAACTGGTCGGGAACGATAGCCCCAGAAGCTGAAGGAATACTTGGCCCAATCCCAAAGAGCGGAGATGAGGCTAAGAGTCGCATAAAACGCCCCCAGCAGGTAGATGACCGCCGTCACCATCACCTCCTTCATTCCCATCTTGGAATTCCAAGCACCTGCAATGTATTCCAAGGCGATAGAATGATTAGGGTTATGACCATTCTAATCCGGCTCAATCCCTATAACCGATTGGCAGCCAATCAGCTAGATTTTGCAGGAGCGTCAGCGAGAAACGAAAGTGACGGATTCATTTAAAAAAAAACGCCCTCTTCCTCCAGAAGGTTCGCATGATATGCAAGAAAGATACGAAACTCCTTTTCTTCTTTACTGCTTAACATGTGATCCGCAACGTTTCCTCACGCCATGAATTGTATTGTGATGATCGCATCATTAGAAATCGGTTGATTCTCAGACGTTCTTGTCTGTCTAATTTACTGCCGCTTATATCTAGACAGTTTGAGATATTCTCTTGTCGAAATAGCATCCCTAGAGTCGCGGAATTTTTCAGATTCGTATACTTCTCACCTCGGTTGTTCGTATGTCACGACGGTCTACGCATATTTGAGAACGCCGGCGGTAAAAACCGGCACAAATGCCTCTGAGTTGCTACCGTCGTTTTCCGACCCTCAACATAAACATAGCAGATACCGAGAAGCACCAGACACTCTCGTTCTCACAGCAGGAGCCCTCGACGAGAAAACGGGGAAATCTGCCGCTCGGAGTCGTACACACTCCACAACACGGAACGATAAACACGAGCACACTGGGAGGCTGGAGTGGCTGCAGATGGAAGGGAGGCGTCCTCATCGCGTCTCGTCGCCAGGGGCGGCCCTCGTCTTCCTCACTCTCCGATTCGGGCCGCACTCAAAAGATAGTGCGTCACCATTGTGACCGAGGCGAACATTGCGGATATCACGATGGATGATGAGAAGAAAATAATACTCGGAGGTGTTGCCTTTGAAAATGAAGAAGACACCATGCACCCACCCGATTAAGACGCATGGGATGGGCTCACTTAGCCCAGAAGGCGACCGAGTTCCTGGTGAGGTACGGGCCACGCTTCGAATCGGGCCGATCGGGTCGGATTCGAAATGGTCGACCCGTGCAGGTCTTTGGCGGGCGGACACGCTGTAAGCTTTTCAGAACAAAGCAGCAAAACTTTTTCTTTCGTGGAAGAATGTCTCCTTTAAAGAAAATTGTGGATGGAAAAGAAAACTACTCCATCGACACTCGATTTGGTTAGTCTATTCGAATGCATAAACGCAGATGCTCCGGAATGCGCATCCCATCAAATTTTCCATCATGTCATGAGTCCCATCCATTTTTTTCCCATTGCCACTTCATTTCTATTATGTTGCTTGATTTCCTCGGGTCTTGCCGTATTTTCTCGTTTCTTTCATCTGTATTGGAAAGGCATCGAAAATCACGTGGTGATTGTGTCGCTCTTTCTGTTAAATATGGGTCTTGGTAGGCCTTACCAATGCTGAGGTAAAGCATTAGTGAGGCCTACCATCGATTAATCCTTTCAAAAAGTTTTTTTTTAGGGCCGGTTCATTATTTGTTTGTTTTTTTATTATTGCTCTAACTGGCTGCATTACGGCATATGACACGTTTGACCTAATTTAAAAACTGGCATCTCGACTTCAATTGCCTAAAGATGACTGTTGGAGAAAAATATTTTGAGTATGGATTTTCCTTCGGCGTGATTCCATTATGCCCCTCAAGGAATGATTTACTGTTCAGCATGTGAACCATGGTATCGATGGCTTTAATAATGCACGGACATTTCGATCAATAATGTCAGTTAAGCGAATGATTTCGATTTCCATTCTTTTCATGCAAGTCCCCGAATAATAGTTCAAGAAATTTCTGACGAGAAAACAATTCGCACATTTTTCACAAAATCAGGCTTCCTTGAAACCTGGGGGTTGAAGACCCCACGCTCGAGATAATACATGTGTATGAATCAAATTCATTATTTCGCAAGATGGCGAATGATCAACATGACGTCATACTCCGTGACGGCAGTCCTGCAAAGCATGTTTACCCCTCCAGGATGAAGAACCTGGAAGAATTTCATTCCTTGTCCTGAGAATATAAAGGATTATTTGCCGTGATCACATTCTTTCGTTTGGCGCGTCATTTATAGTTGAATAATCGAAAGTGTCTCGTAGAGATCCAAGATGGGTTTATTCCATACTTCATCGATCATTACATGCACGAGGAGTTAGTTGTTCAAGAAGTCCCAGATAAGTTTGTTGACCTGGTCGGGCGCTTCCTGCTGAACCCAATGACTCACCCCAGGAAGTTTCACCATCTTCAATCCTTCCACGTACCGGGACGTGGCATCCGCCGTCTCCGTGGAAATCGCGACGTCTCCCGTGCCAAAAACGAGCATGCTTGGTGTTTTTATCTTTTTCTTCATCCACTTCTCCTTCCCGCCTCCCGCGAAATCGATGCAACGGTAGTAGTTGATAGGGGGTGTCAGGGAACCTGATGGCATAAAATCGGTAAACATTAATACTCAGTCCCGGTATCAGAGTAAACGCTATCTTTTAATGAAGATCATGAATGTGTTTGTGAACAGAGGCCTGGCTGCAATCAAAAACTAACCGAGGCGCTGTAAGGAGGGTGCGGGATAATCCGACGCATTCCTATTAATTTTTTAACTGACGGAAAATTATCATAGGAAAAATTGGATTGGATTCTACTGGCCTTTGAATACTTATTGTTAAGAACCAGGAACAAATGATGAAGCAAGTTTCTTGGTGAATGAAAAATCAATTAATGATTCATTGCCTTTTTAGCTTTTATTTTTTTTAGATAACTCAGGTATTATTCGGTGAAATAGCAATTAGGGTTTCATGTTGCCAAGTCAACTTTCATGAGAAATGCTCTTGCACATAGCTGCCCTTTGGTGGATGACTTATTTAAAACATTAACTAGTCAGTCACCTTTCATACACCCTGTTGTGTGTGACCAGTTCAAGCAAACAGTAAAACTCCACTGTATCAAATCTAGTGCGACTAATTGTTAACCGAATCCTAGGATGGGCTAAAAACAAGCAAAAGTTGAAATAGTTTCCCTTAATACTTGTATCAGAGCTGGAAATGTCCTTTCTCAGTAACAAGTATTTACAGTCGCTTTAAAGAAAGAGTTACGATAAATCTGAAAAATGTGAATTTCACAGACAATACCTGAACGATGGTGAGGAAACACAACATAATTAAGTAAAGAATAAAGTTTTAACAAATAATAATGAAGAGAGTCGAAGAATTGGAAGTGAGAAGCGGAAACAGAAATTTCGAAGTCGGGTGAAAAGGTGACCTGGTTTGGAGAAGTTGAACTTGTAGGCCTCGATATCCTCATCCGTGATCCGGGATTTTTTCTTATCTCTCCCCCGGAAAGATTCATCCAGTACCGCCATGTCACAGATTCGGAACAGGGCTTCCGGAAACCACGGCAATTGGAACAGGAACATATACCTTTTACGAGAAAGACAAGAAAGGAAGGTATGCAGGTTGTGATGGGATCGCCTCTTGATATCACTAACTCTCCTGACTCCTGATTCAGGCTAGAACTGGAGACGTTTACACCGTCATGTAGTAATAGGTCTACAGAGAGAGGCATTTACAGACTGCTCATAATCAGTGGCGGCTAGTGATATTTATCGTACTGGTTCGTCTTCGGAGAGGCGGTAGGTAGTGCCCTTCCCCGCCTGCTCCCTCTCCAAAGATGCAACACTAGAGCTAAATATCACGAGCTGCCACTGTTCATAAGAATGCATTTGCAACATTTGACGCAGCTCTACGTGATGGAAACGAGATGAAGATTCGGGAGGAAAAAATGATCCTGACCAGGACATGCGAAACTGCTTCAACGAAGATCGAATGGTGGAAAGGAAGGCGGACGGATGGGGGCAGTTGAAGGCGATGAATTTCTCCACCAGTTCCGGGTGTTCAGACACGAACCTCCATCCCAAGGCGCCGCCCCAATCGTGGGCCATCAGCACTCCGCATTTCTCCTTCCCTGGTTCACGCAAAGAAGGAATTGCACTTCGAATATCTTGACACATTGGTGATTTAAAATCCCGATGTGAAACCGAGGTTTTTGACGCAGCTAAAATGGGCCTGGCCGCCCTGTCCCTGTTTTTTTTGCTGTTTCATTTATTACGCTAATTAATTTCTTCCTTTTTCTCTCTCTTTTCCTTTCTTTCCTCTCTATTCATTCCTATCTTTCCTTTTTTGTAGCTGTCTAACAGTAGTTTATCAAATTGAGAACCGAATGAGACTCCGATCGTAACTCTCTGTGGAAGCTGAAAGAGGACTTCTAAGTCTATTTACGGGACGAGGTGTATTCATCACCGAGTCGATAGCCGGCATTAACTGCTCATCAAATGAACGTTGTTCCCCGCCTCTGTGAATTCGTCTGTTCGACTGTGGGTCAACATTCTACTTGAGATGAAAACTCGTCTCTTCACAAAGAGGAGACTGCATGCCAATGCTTTCGCAAGATTGGACGCCGAGATCGGGATCCATCCGCGGAAAAGATCCTGGAACCGATGGTTGCAGGAAACGAGTCCGAAGCGACACGGTCGACCTCTGTTGGGCATTAAGAATTACCCAAGAATCTCCTCTGTCTTCTTCGTGTTGAACAAAAATCGACATGCATGTCTCGCAAATGATACATGCCTTATTTCTCGTTCCTTTACATTATCGTGTAAACTTGACAAAGGAGGGTGCAGCAGGACGTCATCGCCGGCATCCAGGGAGACCAAACTCTGAAGAAAATATCTTATCTCTGCCAATAAGGACATCGATTAGGGAGGAGGACCGACTGGCCCCGTTAGAAATTCTCTCGAGGAACGTCCTTCAAATTGACAGTTAGAAGACCTCCCCTCTTGTTACCAAGACCAGGAAATCCCTACCTTCTCGTTTCTCCCTGTTCTTCCTCTATTCTATTTCATCTCCCTAGTGCTTTCGCTTTCGATCTGGCTCAGCACTCTTCACTCATGGTTAAATTCCTGTGAATGATAAGTGCTCAGATTTTATTCATAACTCTGGCTGGCAAGAAGCGCGTTCAGAATCCAGATTCAAGATTGCAAACCCTGCTGAGGGTCATTACGATATAATTACTCTTCCTTTTTTCTAATTGTAATTTGTCGGTTCCAATAAATATCCCGTGTTTAATATCCATTCAATCAGTCTGTATCGTGATTTCATTACTCTCCCGTCTTAATTTCCGTTCTAGGTTAGCTGTATTTCCTAACAAAGACGTGAAACGCCATGAAAGCTTCCTTCCCTGAAACTTCATCAAGGTTCGAAGAGGCATTAAATACAAGCATGACGAGCTTGGTGGCATAAGTACCGAGTGCAGGTATGAGCTGACAGATGTCGTCCACGAGATTATTCATATGGTAGGCGTGCTTGTCTTCCGGCTTATCAGATTCCCCATATCCTCTCAAGTCTACTGCAACCACCCTGGAGAAGAAAAGGAATTTCCGTGGAGATTGTCTTCATATAAGTGGTCTAAAATATTGTTCCCTCGAGCGTGCTTGTCTTCCGGCTTATCAGATTCCCCATATCCCCTCAAGTCTACTGCAACCACCCTGGGGAAGAAAAGGAATTTCCATGGAGATTGTCTTCATATAAGTGGTGTAAAATGTTGTTTCCTCGTCAGACTCACCAGTACTGATTGGAGAACTCGAGAAGCTGGTGTCTCCACGAGTACCAAAACTCGGGGAATCCATGAAGACAAAGCATTAATGGATTATTCTGATCTCCCTTCGCCACGTAGTGCAGCGACAAGTCCTGAAAAAAAAAATACATTAATTAAATAACAATGATTGTTATTTAATAATATAATATAATAATAATAATTGTTAAGGCCAAACCTTAAGTCTGGCATATCCATGCGTGCCGAGTTCTGGATTGGAAAGACACAGCGGAGGAACTGGTCGGGAACGATAGCCCCAGAAGCTGAAGGAATACTTGGCCCAATCCCAAAGAGCGGCGATGAGGCTAAGAGTCGCATAAAACGCCCCCAACAGGTAGATGACCACCGTCACCATCACCTCCTTCATTCCCATCTTGGAATTCCAATCACCTGCAATGCATTCCAAGGCGATGGAACGATATGATGTTATGATCAATCTAATTAGGCTCAATCCCCGAACCGATTCAGCTCGGTTTCGCAGGAGCTACAGTGAGGAATGAAAGTGACGATTTCATTTAAAACATTGCCCTGTTCCACCAAGTCCAAGATAAGCAAGAGAGATACGGAATTCCCATCCCTCTCTACGGTTGAACATGTGATCCGCAACGTTTGCTCACGCCTTAGCAATTGTATTGCGATGATCGCATCAACAAAAATCAGATAACTCTCAGACGTTCTTGCCTCTGTGATTTACTTGCGCTTACATCCAGACGGCCTGAGATATTCTCTCATCGAAATACTCCATGGGATTCATCGAATCACTCAGTGAGGCAACAAGTGTCTGTGTTAGTCCAGTGGTGGAAAGACAATTGTCTACATTTGAAACTGAGGAAGAAGACACTTGAGAACCAAGTCCATCTGCCCTGGTTCTTGAAGAAGACCAGAATCCCAGGAGTCACGGAATTTTCCAGATTCGTATACTTCTCGGTTGTTCGTATGTCAGGAAAGTCTATGCATATTCGCGAAAGCCGGCGGTAAATAAAAAAAACCGGCACGAATGCCTTCGAGTTACCATCGGCGTCTTCCGACCCTCGTTAACCGAACGCAGCAGATGACACCGAAACGAAACCGAAAAACAACGGACACTCGTTCGTACAGCAGTAGCCCCCGAGAAATCGGGGAAATCGGAGTCGTACACACTCCACAACACGGAACGATAAGCACGAGCACACTGGGAGGCTGGAGTGGCTGCAGATGGAAGGGAGGCGTCCTTATCGCGTCTCGTCGCCAGGGGCGGCCCTCGTCTTCCTCACTCTCCGAGAAAAATTTTCTCCTTTCCCCCAGACAGAATCCATAGAATCGTGCGTATTTATATGCAATTTGACTGCTCGTAAAATACTTCGATCAGAAGAAATCCTTCGCAGCGTGGATATCGGTATAGCCAGGAGAAGCCATGCGGTTCGGTCCCGTCGGAAACACGATAGGGTAACGCTAACACTTTCCACCAAAATGAATCTGAAGAAGGCAGCTAATCCCCGATGGATGGTGAATGCCCGAGGCCAGTCGCCCAAATTGGCTGGTGCAGGATAACTCACTTTTAGATAAGTTTTCTGTATTTCTTGTGATTCTCGAAGATCATTGGGAGCGTCTAATAAGTATAACGAGAGTACTAGTATATTATAAATCTGCCATTCACTGCAGCTCTGGTCACCATAGATTCCTCGTTGCGATTAGATTTTACCCCCACCCCAAATATCACCATTGAAGTTTCAGATTATTTGGAATGGAGCTTCTCTCTCCCTTCGCCAACTGCTTATCCATCAGCTGCAAAGGCTGGAAGGGAAATGGCAGGTGCAGTCGATGACCCACGCCCGACCCAACCTCAAGGCTCCATGAGCACATCGAGTCGATGGCGATAACCGGTTGTTATGGCACCTGCAAACCGACAGAATGAAAGAATTATAATTTTTTTTTTAAGGAATAATGAGTGACTCATCCATCGCGATATCCGCAATATTCGCGTTTGGTCACTATGGGAACGTAAAATGTTCTCTAATATAAAACATTCTAACGCAGGGGTGTCAAACACAAATCGGTCGGCGGGCCACACCTATAGGATCGTGCGCAGAGGCGTTATCCTATCGGTGCGGCCCGATGACCGATTTGTGTTCGACACCCCTGCGTTACAAGAACATTTCAAGAACAGACGGCCGGCCGTACGCTCGACACCCCTGGTCTTACGCGAGAAGACCAGCAAACCAGAGGCTCCCTTCAAAAGGAGAATCTTCGTCTGGGGTGGTTCAAAATTCGCTTTTCGCCTGTACTGGAAGGAAACGAAACGAATGCCATTCGACCCCCACCCCCTCGAAAGGAGACACCATCCAGCCTCTATGAGCCACCGTGAGAGCAGAAGAGCATCGGTCCGCCGCTGAGGAACCCGGCCTTGAAAAGCAGCGACCGGCTCCTTCCATCCATCCACTCCACTGTCACTCCATGACCCGCGGAGCCCACGACCGACAATCCGGTCTGCCCCCTTCATTCACACTCCCTTTTTCTTTTCACCGCTCATTAATGACGCACCATTCCGAAGGCCTCGTCCTCGTCGTGCATTCCTCATAGCATGCAGATTCGAGGAAACAAGCCGCACATTTATTTTTATATCGATCGAAGCAGCAAACGAGCTCGGTGAAGATCCATGAGATGAGATCACCTCCACAGATGAATCACGGAAATGGCAGATTACTGGTCGATGGAAAGACCTTGAATGAGGTACAGGTGTTTCCATGAGGTAAATCCTCGTTTCCAGAATCTATTGCCCTTGGAGTTGATGGAGGAGCTTGGTTTCGACATGTCTCAGCTTTTCATTAGATTCATTCTAAATTTAAAAAAATTATATTTTCAACGAAGAGAGAGCCTATCCATCAGCAGCTCCAGTGACTTTTAGTTGGTCTCCTTTCTATAAAGGTATGGTATATACTTATATAAAGGTATATACTTATGGTACCGTCCTGTTCGTCTGTGTGTCTGTCTGTATTCCCACATTTAGGTTGTCAGACGATAATCGAAGAAAATATGGCCTAACCAAGGTGAAAATTGGAAAGCAGGGAGACATTAACGAAATAAATGCCGAGTTCGTTTGGTGGCGAATTTGTTTCTAATTGCCGTTTTTATCGCGAATATTTGGATTGGAAATTTCCAAACGGCCGGGATGGCATGGGATCCCGAGAGCCATGAAGGACCTGGACCGCTGTGCGCATGCGCATACGAAACAGGCCCTCGGCGCGGTGTCGTGTCTTCAGCTGGGCTGTCAGTTCTCTACTGTCCTTCGTGCCGGATGGATCCAAGCACGCACAACCCATTTCGTGGGCACCATGGGTGCATTTGCCAAGTCTAACTGAGAAATGCGAATATTGATGGTCGAGGACCGGAGGGAGATGACATTTTGTTCAATTAAGGGACAAAATAAGGGTCGCCTTTAATGAAAGGAAACCAACTACTGGATTCGGCATGACCACCTTGTTTCACTTCCCTCGTAGACAGTGGCGTATTTGCCAGGGGGGCAGGAGGGCAGCCACTCCCCCCTGGCGCCCATAGGACAGAGCCTGGCTCCCTCTTGGAGGAAATAATTTTCTCACCAGATATCACTCGGGTGGGGTTTGCCGCCCCCGCTCTGTTGCCTTGACCCCCCCCCCCCCCCCGACCCTTCAGCCAAAATACGCCACTGCACCTGATATCACTCGGGTGGAGTTTGGCGCCCCCGCTCTGTTGCCTTGCCCCCCCCCCCCCCCCCCCGACCCTTCAGCCAAAATACGCCACTGCTCGTAGAGTAATTAGAGACCTGTTGACTCGGACTCACTAACATTAGACCTAGGCTACTACTCCTTTCTGGTCATGCCAAGGCCAATTTTTTCCTATAAAACAGAACTCAATTCTCGACTTACAATTAGGCATATAGGGGTCTTCGAAACATCTCGTTGTGGGATATATAACGTTAAGTCAATCGCAGGCCTATTTATATTTTTACGAACCATCTCAATGCGGACGTGGAACGTAAAGCCCATCTGGAGTTCCTCGAACCATCTCAAATAGTTCTGAGGAGGGAATGCCTCCAGGAAGCATGAAATCACTGGTGCGGGCCATCTTGTTAATTCAAGGATGTCCGAATAACATATCTCCATATCCCACCACATCGATCAATCACAGCTAACACACGCTTCATTCTCAGCTTAAGACATGAACTCAGCACAAAAATGTATCATATTGTGACGGATGAGGATGACATCGAGAGGCTTGACTGAATGTCCGGGGTTCGGTGGTGTAGTGGTAGCACACCTGACCGGCAATCAGGAAACCCGGGTTCAATTCCCGGCCGTAACTTATTTTCTTTCGTCCTCTCATGCCGTCCGTCTCCCACTTTCCCTCCGTAACAATATATTGAAAAACGAAGATCGAGATGCGGAAACGATGGTTGAATTGATTGCTTCTTGGTTGGTTGCTTGATTCTGGCATAATTTCGGCACGGTGTCCGGCAACACTTGGGGACAGTACCGGAGCAAGTACTCTTAGCCAAATTGAACATCGAGTAATTTCATTTTTTAATGTCAAAATGGTGCATCACAAACAACAAACAGGCCACTTTTCGTCATCTACGACTCCATATATTTCTTGATTGTTCTCTATCCTCAGAAAACTCCCCAGGAGTGGTGAGTCACCCAGGGGGGAGAAGGAGAAAAAAAATAGGAACGAAATTCACATCTTCAAATAGCGAGATTCAGTGTTCTCCACAACACAGGGGTGAGGGAACTTCAAATTTGCTGGAGCTATTCAGCGTTGAGAGGAAAAAACGTGCCAAATTTCGTTCCTGTTGATTCTATCGGAAAGAAATACAAAGAGGTTTTTACTACGGGAGGGGGTTGAAGAGAGGAAATAAACGCTGCAAGGCCTTTTGATTTATGGATAACTTGGAAAAACTGGACTGTTCGTCGGAATCGCAATTTTAGTTCTCAATCGGTTCGAAGGGCCATTATTTTCCAAAATGACATCTCCTGGTAGTGAAACGGCTCCCTGATATCACATCGCAAGAGAAGTTGTGTTCATGAGACTCAAAGATTCTCTCAAACGTCACCCTGTACCTCTTCGCCTCACCCTTCCGTCAGTACACGAATCAGTGAGAAGAGAATCTGGTATGAAACATCAGAAATGTAATCCGGCCTTCCAGTTCAGGCGTTTCAGAAGAATGAGGGAATTGGAATGGCGTGGACAAGAATTACATGTAAATGGAACCCCAATGCGTAAATTGAATAAAGACATCGAACGGGGATGAAGGACAAATCCCAACCGAAGAACGGCGGAATACCTTCAGGGAAAAGAAAATAATTCTTTTTCCAACATATTTTATTTAGCGTCTGTTATTGATATTAAGATGTTGCATCGAAAACAAGGTCATGACCATTAAACCACTGCACAATCAGTTCCCATTGTTGTCTAACTTCACCCTCTTCTTCCTGCATGAATGGAAAAAGACAAATCATGCGTTTCCGCTCCTGTCGTTAAATATGGATTCTTCAGGTTTTTTGGTACTACCTTTACGTAAGGTCTCCCTCGTCTTCTCAGTATCCTCAGCCTCAGTAGTATGAATACCCAGAGTAGTATCCGGGGTTGTAGTTTCCGCTCCCGTAGTTACCATAACTGTTGCTCTGTTGCGCGCCTCCGTTCCCGTTCCCGTAGCTTCCGTAGTTTACGTAGCCTGGGTAGTTTCCGTAGCTTCCATAATTGTTGCTTGCAGGACTGTTGCTCTGCTGTCCGGCACCATTCGCGTTCCCGTAGTTTCCGTAACCTGGGTAGTTTCCGTAGCTTCCGTAATTGTTGCTCGAAGGACGGTTATTCTGCTGTCCGGCTCCATTCCCGGCTCCGTTTCC